GTGTGTGTGTGTGTGTGTGTGTGTGTGTGTGTGTGTGTGTGTGTGTGTGTGTGTGTGTGTGTGTGTGTGTGTTTTAAACCTCTAGCCTGATTCATCTTTGGATAGAAGGCTGGATTTAGGGGTACTTATTGGATGTGTTAGTATGTCTTTTGTTGTTCATTTTCAGATTGCAGCTAAGAAAGAGTCCTGTCCAAATACTGGCAGAGACAAAGACCACCTGTTGAAATACAATGTCGGTGATTTGGTGTGGTCCAAAGTGTCCGGTTACCCTTGGTGGCCATGCATGGTTTCTGCTGATCCACTCCTTCACAACTATACCAAACTTAAAGGTATTGTGTTTTTGCATTGTTGTTTCATCTTTCTCTTTCTGCACTTAATCTTTCTAACGTCCAAACTTTTTTCTTACTCTTCCATAGCCCTACTATGGTTCTCTTTTATTTAAAAAAATTGTGCTAAAATACAAATAACATAAACTACCGTCTTGACCATTTTTAAGTGCATAGCTCAGTGGCATTAAACATGTTCACATTGCTGAATGGTCATCACCACCATCCATCTCAGGACTCACTCATCTTGTGAATCTGAACCTCGGTGTCCATTCAGGACTAACTCCCCGTTCCTGCTCTTCCCAGCACCTGGCACTCACTGTTCTATTGTCTGTCTACTTTTTGTAGTGTGGTTTGCAATTCCCTAAGGATTAGTGATGCTGAGCATCTTTTCTTGTGCTTATTGGCCATTTGTATGTCTCTGAAGAAATGTCTGTCTAGTCCTTTGCCCATATGTGAGTTGGATTTTGTTTTTTTGTTGTTGAATTTACAGTGGTTCATTTTTGCAACTTTAAAGTTAATAATTGGTTCAGATGAAACACATTGCCATTTCTTTTTATATCCAACTCAGATATGTACTTTATCTGATTGAATTAATAGAGAAGTAGTCTTGGCTTTATATTGCTTTTTAGGTTTTATGATAATTTATTGTTTAGATAAACAGTGATGGCTTATTTCAGCATGATTTTCAGAAATTATATTTTATACTAAGTTTGAGTTATAAAAATGTCCCAGTTTATTTTTTAGGCCTGTGGGAAGAAGGAAAAAACTAGAAATGATCTTCTTTGGCATCCTGAAACTTGGGAATATAAATTGGTCTATGGAGCAATTGAAGAACACATTAGGAATATAATATGTTATTGATACAGATTAGAGCAGATGCAAATTTAAATATTAATCGGGGAGCTCACAAAACATAAAAGCTCATGTGTTTTTGGAGGGAAAAATGAGTTCAGGTGGTTTGAGATTCTTCTAGAAAGTTCTTCCAGAGTAAAGTTTGAATTTAGTTTGAGGAAGGTGATAAATGGTGAGCACAGTGTTGGAGCTGAGCCAAGATAGTGCCCAACTGACCTGTGCACCCTTCAGAATTATGGGTGACTAGAGCTGCGGGCTGGGCCAGGCGGACTTCCTGGCCTCTTAGTACTGCTGATCAGTCAGCCTTATGTGGCTTCTTAGTGGTACATGAGTACATGTCCCCTCCTGTTCTTTGGTTGGAGGCCTGAGCTCTCACAGGAGTGGCATTGCTGCTTCCACTGCAAGTTGGGGTGCTGTTGGCTTGCTGTATGAAGCAGATGGCTGCTAGGGACGGGGTACGGGGGTGCCTACCTGGCAAACAGACATGAGAGGAGGTGGGTTCAGAACAAAGAGGACCATGCTCGAGGCCGGAGTGCCTCTGAGTCCTGTCCAGCTTTCTTCCCCCGGGGGCTGGTTGGACTTGGCTTTGAGGCTCAGGAAAGCACATCTGCTTAGGACTTGTAGTGGCCACAGAAGAGCCTTTGGGCTGGCTTCAGCTCTGACTCCATGGAGGACCTTCGGCATCCTCAGCTTGCCAGAATTGGGGAGTTCCTTCCATGAGGCTTCAGGGACCCCAGGATGTACCCCAGAGGCATCTAGACTTGGTAGAGTATGAAAAAAACCATCAGTTGAGACAGAGGCTCGGCACGCACACAGGTGTGTGCCTGAGGTGTTGCTGGTTCCTTCCCAGCTCTCTAAAACCACGCAGCAAAGCGAAGTAGAAGTCATGGTGGGCTTTATGACTTCATGCCACTGGTCCAGCACATCACAAGCAATTCCTTTTTAATGTCTGGGGGTTTCGACTTTGTTTATATGAAGCTCCCGGCATCTCAGACCTCTGTGATTGAAGGGGTCTTTTGAATGTCTCTTGGTTCCAGCTCGTGGGATTAATTAATTTTAATTTCATTACATCTTTCCCCTGATTTAGAGCAAAATAATTCCTGTAGTCTACAACAGGCTGTCCGGATGACATTCACACACAACACCATTTTTATTCTCTCTCACTTCCTCCTCCTTTATTCTCCGGCCCCTACTCTTGCTTACAACGTTGGAGCAGAGCATTATGCTCCCAGTGGAGGCATGGGCTTTGGAGTCAGCTTGCCAGGGTCTAACTCAACCGGTTGGTCTAGTAATGAACTGCTTAATTTCCTTAAGCCCCAATTTCCCTACGTAGGAAAAAGGAGGAGGGTAGTGATAATAACACTTGTTTGGAAAGGTCTTTGCCTGGTGAGTAGTGAGCATTCAGATGTCAGCACAGGTTACTGTCCTCTTTTTTACTTTTAAACCCTGAATTTTTATTGTATCTACCGTTTCCTCTGGTTACCTCTAGGGCTCTTTCCTGAAAGAAATGGTCCAGTTTGACCATTTACTTCCCCTGCAGCAGCCCAGTGTTGGATCATTTAATTTAGATAATTTTGTACCCACTCTTAGTGCCTTTATGTCGCCAGACATGCCCCCGCTTTCCCAGCAGTGCCAAGGGTTCACACTTGAGTTCCATCTTGTTGCTTGCTTGTTTCTTTATTTAAAAACCTTCCAAGCCCATGGTTCAAAGTGGAACAGTACAGTGGACACCCATGAACCCTCACCTATATTTGCAGACTTTAGCCTGCTCCATCTCTTTCTGAGTATGAACACTCCTTTGCCAGCCCATGTGAATGGAGGCTGTAGGCATCATGGTGCCTCACCCCTAGATGTGTCAGCAGGAATCTTCTAAAAACAAGGACAGCTTCTTGCCCAACTCAACACCCAGACACACGTAAGGAAACGCTGTTGTCAGTGACGCTGCCCCATCATCTGGGCCCTTGCTTAGACTTCCCCAGCAATCTTCAGTGTTTTCCCTGTGCCTGTTTTTTCTTCGCTCTGGATTGAAAAGGGTGCTTGCATTGCATTTAGCTGTTCACTGTCCTATCTCTTTAGGCTCCTGCAGTCTAGACCGGCACTCCCTGCCCCCAGCTCTCACTGCTCTCGTCTCTTGTGGTCAGACTCAGGTCCATAAGACCAGCCAGGTGTACCCTGTAGGTGTTCTTGAGGGAAGGGGCTTGAGCTTGGCCCTTCACTGAATACCTGTCTTCTTGCAGTGCGTTTCTCTAGGCATTGTTTGGGGATGCAGGGGAGGGAGCACTTGTAATCACAAGCAAATCAACTTCAGAAGACTGCTAATGTGCATTTGAAAAGTAGTTCAAAAGGAAGGGAACCAGGGTGAACACCCTCCAGCTGATAGGACATTCATATGACCTTTGAAGAGAAAAGGGGTCAGAGGAAACTGTGAGAATGGGGGGTAAGGGGATGACAGAAGGACACATGTCTCAGTTGGATTCTGTCAGGAGCTCTTGGTGTCAGCTCTCTCCCACTTCCCAGTAGGTGGTGGCCAACAAAACTCTCCAGTGGAAAATACAGTCCTTTTTTTTTTTGTCATTAGTGAGTGATCTGTGGCCATGTTTGGAGATTAGTTTCCCCTGCCAGTCTTTCCTTATGGTTTTAGTACTCCCTTATGATCCAGTGGCTTATAAAATGGTAACTGTCCATTTTTATCATGCTTTCTGTGTTTAACTGGCATTTTTCTGTGAAAATGAGCTTCCTCTTAAGAATTTAGTTATGTAGTATAGTCCTTACTCTTTAAAAAAATTTTTTTATTTAAATTCAATTTAATTAATATGGTAATATTAGTTTCAGAGGTAGAATTTAGTGATTCATCAGTTGCATATAACACTCAGTGCTCATTCCGTCAAGTGCTTTCCTTAATGCCCATCCCCCAGTCCTTTCCTCCCCCCCTTCCTTCCCTCCTTCCTTCCCTCCTTCCTTCCTTCCTTCCTTCCTTCCCTCCCTCCTTCCTTCCCTCCCTCCTTCCTTCCTTCCTTCCTTCCTTCCCTCCTTCCTTCCCTCCCTCCTTCCTTCCTTCCCTCCCTCCTTCCTTCCCTCCCTCCTTCCTTCCTTCCTTCCTTCCTTCCCTCCTTCCTTCCCTCCCTCCTTCCTTCCTTCCCTCCCTCCTTCCTTCCCTCCCTCCTTCCTTCCTTCCTTCCTTCC